CGTACATACTGGATTGTGATGCTAGTAATGTCGGAACTGGAGGAGTATTGTTTCAGAAAGTGAGCGAAAACGAACATGTGGTGGCATACTTCAGTAGGGTCCTGAGTAGACACGAGAGGAACTACTGTGTAACACGGAGGGAATTCCTTGCTATAGTAAAGAGTCTGACATATTTCCATCATTACCTCTATGGGGCTAGGTTTACCACCAGGACAGACCATGCTGCATTACGCTGGTTAAGATCATTAAAGAACCCAGAGGGACAACTGGCATATTGGATCAGAAAGATAGACCAGTAAAATTATGATACTGAATACAGAGAAGGAAAATCTCAAGGAAATGCTAATGGACTGAGCCGAAGACCCTGCAAAAATGACTGCAGACATTGCTACAAAAGAGAGGTTGAACTAACCATGTGCCATCAAGCTGAAGTCAAAGTGACTGAAGAAGTTGATGATGGTGAAGTGGAACCAGGTATAGATATTAAAGCAGAGCAGAAAAAAAGATCAAGATTTGAAGCCAATAATTGATTTTCTAAAAGCAAGTGTTTTGCGCCCTGCTTGGGAGAAGGTGTCTAGTCTAAGCCCTGTGACAATAACCTCCTTATCATCTACATCCTTCTCTGACTGTTTAGTTTTCCTTCCCTCCAGTAGTTCCTCATCTGCGGAAACCAAGGGCTGAAGTTTGTTGTTCAATAGAATAAGCTTATTACAATTAAATTCACTACTTTTAGCTCTAATACTACTACTACTACTACTAACTAGTAATACTAATAGTACTCTTTCTATCTTCCTGAAACTAAAAGTCATTGTTAGCTGATGTATTCCTTGCATGTAAAAGCTTAAGTTCCTCTTGAAATCTTGAGTCTACAAGTCTACACTTCTTTATATCTATTGCCTCTACTTCAATTATGATAGCCTCCAACTTCTCTTCCAACTTACAAACTCTACATACAAATTGCACATTTTCATTACTCGCTTCCTTAAAATTACATGCCAGTCCCGAGTTCCAAAATAAACCCTACTTATTGCAACCATTACAGTTACATCTAACAAACTGTGAACGCTTAATTCCGGCACTATTCTTAACCATTGTATTTATATTTATAGCCTGAAAGTGATAAAAAAACAAATACCAGTAATGTAGTGTCATCACTATTGTAAGCTACATTTTTTTTTTTTTTTTTGTATAGAACTATTGAATGTTCCTTGATGATTTCGCAATATAACTGGATAATTTATATATATAACGGTGAATAACACCAGGCCTACTTTCCTAACATTATTTAGTTTAATTTTAATGAAAATAAATAGCAACTTGCATCAAAGTAATTCAAATTACTATTTTATAGTTTTTATTTTGTCATACTCTGCAAACGCGTAGTATCTAGAAAATATGCCCCTCCCCAGTGACTTAGCAGCTAGTCCAAGTGTTTACAATGCTAAAAACCGGGTTCTGTTACCTGTGGTAGTCAGATCACAAAATAGTCCATTAAGTAGCTTTGCGCTTAACAAACATGAAACTGTATAAATAGCACTTATTATTATTTTAATCGTGTTCAAAGCTCTACCTTCGAAATACGTATGGATAATTGGATTTTCAAAAAGGTGACACGCATAATGCAGCAGTAATGTTTCTTTGGACATTAAAAACAGTATAATATTAGAAAACGTATTCATTTTTAACTTTGCAAAATAAATAATATTAGTGTTGTTTAAGGTAAAAAATAGTGAATTATAGACACCCAACTTAATACAGATATTTATAATAGTTAACCTATGACCTTAATTACTTGTGGAAAATCCATGGCAAGTTGTATTATTAAGTTACTTATTAGTTATGAAGATACAGTAAGATCTGTAACAAGTATAAGCACTTCTGTGAAAAGTTGAATGTACAAAAAGTAAGGGGACTTATGCCTCACTGTTGTGCACAGTTTTCGCTGTTAGAAGAGTATATTATTTAGTTCTTTGAATAACAAACTTTAAAACAACCACCAGGGGTCAGATTACAAGTTAAATTTACAATTTAGCGCGTTTTTGGGATAGGTCGTGTACGTAGAATTAAAAATAAAATTTTAAGATACGATTTAATTAAAAGTCTTATGTATAAGCTTTGGTCTATTCGTGTTTTTTATATGAGTGAGAATTATATTTCTGTTTCAAAATGAGTGATGGAATAGTAACTATGCTGGATTTCGTAAGAAAAGCTATCAGTGAAACAGAAGATTTAGGGTGAGATTTTTTCGCAGGCTACTTCTCAATGATAAGTTATAACCCAGATCAAGTAAATACTAGAGAAGTTAGAAGACTGTCTTATCTAACGTTGTTTGGAACAACAATTATAACTTTGTTAGTGTTTTTAAGTTCTACAAACAAACCAGGTTCTTAATTAGTCTTTCGTTTTCAAGAATTAGCAAGGGCCTAAAATCTAAATATAAATTATTAGGACAATAGGTTACTTGAGTTTTCTCTTGAATTTACGAGTCTTAAAAATAAAATGTTAAGTTTTAAATATGTACGTTAGTATATAGGAATGGTTAAACTAAAGATATTATATTGTGTATGTTAATGCGAATAGCGTTGTTCAGCCTCTTGGCATAGTAGAGAAATGAATTTTAAAGTAGAGAAGGTGTTAAAGTACCAAAAAATAAAACTTTGTAATACGAAAATATTTGTATTATTCAAGTAATTTCAAATATGTACATTATAGTAATAAGTAGAAATATAGCATTTTGACTACACACCTTGTGTTCCACATGCCATTGCCAGTAAGGAAAAAATGTAAAAAAATTATCATCAGTATTATTGTTATGTAATGTCATACAAACTACCAATCAGTAGATCACACTTTGCTGACACAAGGTGTCATATACATGGCATTAAGCTGTGTCTTATAATCACCAGTTCTGTTAGAGTATAATAGCTTTAGACTGAATTATAGGTACTTCGTTCAGTTAATGTACAGTATGTGATGTGAACTGGAATACCTTTACTAAAGAATATGACATAATAGTGCAACAGATTTTAAAATGGGTGTAACAGTAATGGTTGTTTTACAGTGTGCATGTGTAACAACAGCCATTTTAATATATTACTAACAGAGTTTGAGAGAAATGTTAACTCATCACTAACACTTTTTTGACATGGTATTATTTTTTAAAAACATACTTTTTTAATTTTGTATTACCAAGTTATTTCTTTCTGAAGATTTTTTTTTTATGCCTAATTATTTTAGGTCTCTAACAATTCGTGATCTTCGTACTGGTTTTATGAATGAACTAAAGTTACAGTCTTTGAGTTCTGAGGAAAAAGAAACTTTCAGAACAATTGTAGACATAGCCCTTGAAGAAAATAACCAAATCAAATCATCAAAAAAGGTAAATCAACATGCACACAAATAACAAATATGCAAAAAAAGTGGATAACAAAACTTCAACTGAATAAAATGCATCTGCATAGTCACATTTTTTTAAACAATAAATAATTTTGGTTAATCTTTAATTGATATATTTTGTAGCATGAGACCTGTGGCATTTATGGTGTAGTAGTTTAATCATCTAAAACATCTGTTTCATAAGTAGTCGCAGGTTTTAATTCTCTCAACCTCTACTTCTTAAGAAAACCTTTAATTCTATTGTGTCAACTGCTTTGTTCAAATTAGTTTGTTACCAACAACCAATAGCAAAAAAAAAAAGTCTAATAAGTATAAAAAGAACATATTTGTTAGAGATGAACATTTTCTTTGTCTGTGCAGATGTTGCAAAGCTTACTGTGTATCATAAAACACAAAAATATGATACCTTATAACAAGGGCTCTTTCGAAAGTGCTTGGGTTATAGGGTATCATGTTTTTGTGTGAAATTGGTTTCTTAAACCTACTTTTTTTTCAAACATCATGAATGTATACAATAATACTTCCTTAATATATAACTTCTTAGATACTAGAAAAATGTCAGGGTAGTTATTATTAGAATTTTGTAATACCAGCAAAACAAACTGTGCCAAAACCATAAAAAGTAATTCATAATTTCTTCTCGTAGGTTTAAGTATTATACCACAAAGTATAACAGTCTTTTATTAGAAAAAGTATGGTTTTAGAATAGCATTACCCATATGAACAATATGCATCAATATTCCAAGCACCATCAGGTTTGAAACATCATATATTTTTATTTATATTTTAGATTACCAAAATCAAAAATACAAATAAAAGGATACAACAGTTTGGTGGTGCTTTTGAATATTTATGTATATTTTTCATACTCAAGAAGATAACACTTTTGTATTAGAAGCAGCTTTTTATTTTCTTGTTATTTTGAGAATAATGTTGTAGGCATTAAATAAGTTTTGAAAATTTATTATAATGGACTGTAATTATTTAGAATTTACTGAATCTCTTCACATTTTGTTGTATCCAGACAGCTAAACAAAAATATTTATATGTACAGGAAAATGCTGGATGCAGTGATAAACCAAGAATGATGACAAACACTAGAAAGAAAACATTAACAGACTCAAGTGAAACATTTATGGAGAGTTGTGGTAATGGTAAAAACGGTGCCTTGGAAAAGCAAACTCAAGAAAAAATTGAAAGTATAAATAATGGTAAAATGGGTTATTTTATAGGCCAAAAAATAGGAAAAAAAGGTACTTCCCATAAAAAGTCACAGTTCAAATCAAAGTCAGAGAAGAGTGACACTGAAACTGAGAAATGTCACTCTCCTAACATCCATGCAAGAAAGTCACGACCCAAGAAAAGGATGCATGAGAGTGTTAGTGAAAATGACCAGGATAACTCCCCAGTCACTTCCAGTAAAAAATCACAGCACACAAAAAGGTCACAAGAGAGTGAGAGTGAAGATGAACAGGATAATTTTCCAATTATTTCCAGTAAAAAGTCATGGTCTAAGAAAAGGTTACAAGATAGTGAGAGTGAAAATGAACAGGATAACTTCCCTGTCACTTCCAGTAAAAAATCACAGCACACAAAAAGGTCACAAGAGAGTGAGAGTGAAAATGAACAGGCTAATTTTCCAATTATTTCCAGTAAAAAGTCACAGCTCACAAAAAGGTCACAAGAGAGTGAGAGTGAAAATGAACAGGATAATTTTCCAATCATTTCCAGTAAAAAGTCACGGTCTAAGAAAAGGTTACAAGATAGTGAGAGTGAGAATGAACAGAATAACTCCCCAGTTATTTTCAGTAAAAAGTTGCAGCTCACAAAAAGGTCACAAGATAGTGAGAGTGAATGTGAACAGGATAATTTTCCAATTATTTCCAGTAAAAAGTCACAGTCTAAGAAAAGGTTACAAGAGAGTGAAAGTGAAAATGAACAGGATAATTTTCCAATTATTTCCAGTAAAAAGTCACAGTCTACGAAAAGGAAACACGAGAGTGAAAGTGAACAATGTAGTTCTCAAAAAACTTTAAGTGAAAAGACTTTTGAAAGTAATAGTGATGAAGAAAAAAACATTAGTTTTGAAAATAATATAGCAAAAAACATAGATAATAGAACGAGTAGCGATGAAGATGAAAAACCTCTTTCTCTTCTTGGGAAAACAGCTGGATCATCTTCTAGTAAAAACAAACTTCAATTGAAGCATGGTTCACAAAGCTCCTCAGATAAATCTTCAGAGGATGACTTGGATCAAAGTGAAAATGAAGATTCTAGGAGAGGCAAAAAGAGAAAACGACAAGAATCGGGAAAGAGTAGCATAAAACCTGTTCACAAAAAAGCAAAGGTTTGTAATAATACTCTGCAAGGTAAATTGTTAAGAATGAGGGTAAAACATGCTTCTCTTTTCCAATTACTCAATGCTGATTATTGGTTTAATAGTTAAAGAAAAAATCTCATTAGTTCTGGTGGGAATTAAGTTTATAGCCATATATGTATTACATATTTTGTAATGTTCAACCAATAGGCCTGATTATAATAATAATAATAACCTCACTAAATTTCATTTTTTGCTTTTCTCTTAATTATTCCATTATGGATTTCAAATTAATGGCATTTAAAAATAGAATTTCAAATATTATTTTTGTCTGCCACATGCTGTTGCCAAGGAGACCTGTTGGTTTCATTGTTTCACCAGCTTTTGGTATTTAAAACCATAACAAAGTAAGGAGATATGGAGGTATTTATGTTTCCAGTAATAATGTAAAGTAGGACACAATAGTACTGATTAAATATGGTCTTTATTACAGTGTATTATCATTGGCACGAGTGAATAGTAATGGTAATAATACAACGTGGAGAAAAATTTTAAGTAAGAATAATAAAATACAGTTTTGCTGTTTTTTTTTGGGGGGGGGGGCATTTTTTATCCATTGCATTATTCCTATTGCCATTTTTATCATTAAAATTGTAAATGGGGTGATGTTTCCTTGGATTTTTTTTTTTTTTATTCCTGTAACTCCCATTGGAGCATAGGGCCGTAACAACACCTCACCAACGGAAAGTTGTTGTTGCAGTTACTTGTAGCAGGTTGGTTTTTATGGGGTGTAGTTGCTAGCCCCACGCCCAACCCTCCTCCTTTCTCATCCTGGACTTGGGACCAGGTAAAGGCGGATGTTAGGTGTGATGGGGATTCGAACCCGCGGCCCTCAGATTACGAGTTGAGCGCCCTAACCACCTGGCCATGCCTGGCCTGTTTCCTTGGATTACTATAGAGAATATAGTGTATTTTAAATTCAACATGGTATATTGTGGTCTTATTGGCTTGTGATATTCAAAACTAAAGCACAATATGTTTTAAGTTTATTCAGTAAAAATGTGCAATATTAACATTTTAAATACAAATGAGGTACCACTGTAACATAAGAGAATCGAGTTGTTTAATACCCAAATGTCTTATTTTGTTGTGGCAGCTACACGTACTTCACTGCAGTGTTATCAAGTTAGACAGTACAGTATACCAAATCATTTTCATATGAAATATAGCAAATGGACAGGTAAAAAGTAAAAACAAATCACTATTTAGTAAAATCCATCACTCTTTTGTAACATTGAATAAAAATTTAATTCTCCAGAACAAATTTAATAATGTTATTTACTTATTACCAGTGTGCTGACCTTTTTTCTAATATGAAAGACTTAGAGACTACCCTCTTAAATTTTTGATAACCCTGTTTTAAGAGGTACAGGTAACAAACAGAATGATAATATGTTAGTAGTTTTCTATTTTCAATTTTATATACCGTACAGATTTCTCCAGAAAGTAAGAGAAAAACTGATGATGATGATCCACGGATCAAACGCCTCAAAAGATACATTTCCACAGCAGGCCTGAGAATTAAATATGGAACAGTTTTTGAAGGATGTAAGACGAGGAAGAAGAAAGTGGAGAAACTGCTCCAAATTCTAAAGGATGAAGGCCTGAAAGGTAGAGTTAAAAAATCTTGAACTTGCATAGCAGTGTTTTTCAACCAGTGTCTTTCCTCTTTAGTTATTTTCATAAGTTTTTCATCAGTATTATTCCTATATATTTGTGGGAGTTCTTAACACTAAAAGTTCCAAAATTTTCAGGCACTGTACATCATTTAGACATTGGTTTGAAGGCTAGGTATGCTTTCTTCATTGTGTGTCTTTCTAAGTAAGTTGATAATCTTAAGTTGTTTTATTTTGTTTCTTCACAAGCTTAATGATATTCCACTCACAAAAGACTTACATGGAATGATAATGTGTTCTTTCTTAATCAACAAATAGCTTTGTTTGCTTTATGTTTGCTCCCTCAGTGGCTCTGCAGTAAGTCTGAGGGCTTATAATGCTAAAAACCAGGTTTTGATATCATTGGTAGGCACAGCATGTATAGTCCATTGTCTAGCTTTGTACTTAACTTAGGATTGAGAATTTCACGTGGATCCAAGGTTTCCTGCGGATTTTTGTGTCTCATGGGTCATTCCTGTGATTCGTGCAAATTTCCATGGGGATGGTAGGAAATGCCTCTGTGAGTCTTAAACTTGGTTTATTTTTATATTTTGATCTATTTTTTACAGTCTTTTACTAAATTGTACATGCTTATGTGTTTGCTTTGCTGATGATTTTTAGATAAAATTCAATTCTGAATCATTTCTAATCTAGGTGCATTATGGAGTAAACATTGTTGTAACTTCCAAGCATCAATAGTATCTGCTAAAATGTATTGAGGTTTGAAAAGAATTGATGACAAGTAACACCGCAAGATTCAAGAGATTGATAAAAATTGTATAGAGACTTGGAGTAGGCATGGATGGATAAAGATGTCGAAATTGAACTAAAAACATGAAGGGTGAGAAAGTGAAAGCAACGATGTGCATGGTATCAATGGATTAAAAGGGCATGTTCATTCGAAATGTCACAAAAAATAAATGCAGGCCATCACTTCTACCCACAAATCATTTTGCACAGCTAGTGTCAAAGGAGCTGCCAGAAGATCCAAAGAATTCTAGTGCTACCAGTTTTGATGTGTAATAAGTTTCCACTGCATCTAGATGTACATGTCTAGTGGAGTAGATGTATAATTTCCCCCCTCTCTCTCTTAATCAACCTGTACTTGGTCATTTATATTGAATATAATGTGACAAATTTCATTATGATTTTCTGAGCAGGTGACTCCAGGAAATGGCTTTGAATGCATTTTTGAATGTGAAGATCTTTTACTTTCAAGGGGCTTTGCTCCCTTGAAACCCCATTTAGATTTAAATGAGTAATAGAACCCCCCACCACCACCACCAGGGCATTGCCCCTGGATCCCAGTGGGGGTCTACTGGTCCCCATACCCCCCCAAGCTTCCATTGATTTTTTTCATCCCTGTTAACTACAAATGTGCAAACAAAAAAAAATGGTTTGCTTGATAGTGTATTTTGTGATGTGACTTATGAAAGACTGAATTGTAGGAGAGGGGCTCAAAGGATAACTATTAGGATGATTCTCACGATGGAAAGTATGTAATATGAGGGTAATTGAGACCTCTCAACTTTTGATCTTCTTGAAAAGAGAAGAAACAAGTGTCATGTGATTGAGACATTTAAAATTATTAAGGGAATTGGTAAGATTGAATTCCAAGGGCAGTAGAACAAGAGGTCATGAATTTAAGATTTGGAAAAGTCCGAACTGACTCCAGTTGAGGTGGTTTAATTTCTCTATTGGGATAGTAAATGTATGGAACAAATTACCATTTAGAATGGTGGAAGCTATAAATTGCAAGAGCGTAAGGGATTATAGAATAATTGGAGATCAGTGCTGGATTTAGTTATTAGTTTTCTCTTTGTAGGAAGAGACAGGTTGGGAGTCAGGACATAATTAATTAATCAAAAGGATCCATGATGACTGATATTTACTACTCATAAGTTGAGAGATAGCTGCAATAGGCTAAGTAACCATCTGTCAACTTGATTGTTCCCCAGTTTTTTATTCCAGTGGTTAACATACAAAATGCATTAATTGTAATATCTTAAGAACACTAGTTTTGAAACAGGTATTTGTAGCCTAGAATATTTGTTAAATCTTACAAAATATACTTCATCTTGTTGTAAAAACAACATATATTACACTACAAGTGTATATCGAATAAAGTAGTCTTAAGGTTTCCCATGCACAGAATATGTTTCATCAATTAAGAAAATAACTGCACTATATCAAAATATTTTAATTAAGGAAAATTGTGAATGCTTGGAACTGTCATGGCTGACTTCTTACTTAGTTAAGCCTAACTTAATCTTAAATAAAATATAGTCAGTGTTCAAGAAAATTTAAAATATTTAATTCCACAAAAGTACTGTGTATCAAAGAAGATATACCTTAACTAAGAATACAAGTTTTGTTTCAGTTTTCTCTACAATCAATATTATAAGGAATTTTTGTTCTCATTTTGTTAAATTATGGTTTTATTTTTATTTCAGGTTATTTTCCTTCTAATATTTGACTTTTTATGATATTCTCTTTATTATATGGTTACATAATAGCCAAAAAACATTTGATAACTGATTCATGAATATATGCTTTTTTCTTGTCTTTTTTCCAAGCTACAGATTTGTGCTTAAACATCATTAATCTGAATTTACTGTTAATTCGTTAGGTTAGATATGGTTACGTATTCTCTGACATTAATCAGAACTCTATTTGTTTATTAGGCTAGGTGTTATATGTCATTAATAAGAATTCACTTAATTCCTTTGGTTAGATTAGGTTAGGTATTGTATGTTGTTGATCAGAACTCACTGTTAATTCTTTAGGTAAGCCTACCTTGAAGAGTTGTAAAGCCTTGAAAAAAAAACGAGAAAAGAAACAAGAATTAAAAGAACTAGATGTTTCAAACATCATTGATACAAATGGAGGTAAGATGTAGTCAGTTTTCATTTCTTGATGAAACATTAACAACACTAGTTTAGAATGGCATATAAACACTAGTGCAGGTATGAAAAGGAGAAAAATACTAGATGTTTTAGCCAACAGCAAGTTGTAGTTTTCTCTGAGAAAGACCTAGACTGGCAGATTTAAAAATATTTTGTATTCCTTTTCATACCCATTTGTTTTCTAAGTTATTTTAATAAATAAAAAACCTTATTTTTCATTTCTTCCACCATAAAACTAATTTTCTTAATCATCATGAACTGAACAAGATTTTCAGTTTATTTAAGATTTTTCTGTTATTTGGAACAGTTTCCTGGTGCTTGAAATGGAATATTACTTGAACAAAATTACTCTTAATGGTGTCTAATTTTGTGTTCAGTCTCATGAGAACTGTTGAGCTGTGCTATAGGAGAAAAATTTATACATTTTACCAATCTAATTCTTTGTTTCCTAAAGTATAAATGGATTTTCCTTTTAACAAATTCCTTCAACTGTTCTGTTCAACCCAGCGGACTAAAATATTTATAGTGTGCTCCCAATGTTGTTTTATGCATTCTTCAGAACCTGTAATTTGGAGCTAAGCATGACCCAGTGGTTAACTAGCCAGACTGTGGATTTACAGATCCATTGTTTTTGCAGGTTGTTACCACTTAAAAATAAAGCTTTCACACTTGGAGTCATGAATTCATTGTAAAGGTGGCAGTCAAAATCTGTTGTTCAATTGGACAAGAGTTAGTGGAGGGTGCTTTTGACTAGCTGCCTATCCTGTAGTCAGTCAGTTCAAAATTAGGGGTGACCGGTGCACATAGCCCGAGAAACAAAATATCTGGGTTTGCATTGCAATTTGCGAATCACTTTCCTCTTTACTTAGCATAATGTATGAATCATTCCTTTCTCTTGTATGTTGTCTTCAAGACCTCCAACAACACAGTGAAAGTGCTAAACATTTCAGTGTGATATACCAAAGCTGATGTTCATTTCTCAGAAATTCCTGCCAAATGGCACATACAGTATTTTTACACTTTGTCGAGAGCATATTGCATACACATACACTTTGTTGTAGTCTGTTCATGACGTTTGGAATGAATCCAGTTGGCACCCACAACTTAGCCAACTAGACTAGAGTATTGAGAGAGTCCATAAGTGGCTCAATGTTAAATGTGCTGTGCATGTACTGTAGGTATATATATATATATGGACTCAGTCTGAAGGACCGACCATGTGACAATTTTTATTTGTATATAGTTTTAATACTATAACTTTAAATACAGTATGTGTATATCTTCACAAATTTTGGCAGGCTTTTAGTAAAAATTACAAGTCGCTTGTACACAAAATTGTTATTTTACTAAAGATTTGTCTGTGAATATATCGAGTCTTTTTTGACCAGTCTAAGTGCAAAATGATTTTCATGTTGAGATTAAAAATACTTTTCTTCATCTCAAAAATCTCAAATGTCATTTGCGTAATCTCTGAAACCTCCTAACTACATTTCAAACTATTTTTTCAGTAAAACTTTATATTTTATTGTTATTATTTTCTCTGTACAAGGTTGGTCAATTTGACCAACCTCGTAACCACCAAAAAAAAAATCTAAATAAATCTAAATTATCCTTTTTCTTTCTAGAATGACTTAAGATTGTAACATGAAACTACATTTGTTTATCCTAAATTTAAATTTGTAACAGTATACATTCTATGTATACGTAAATTTTATTGCTTTAACTCTTCTTGCTTTTTGAACTGTGTCTATCTGCTAGTACTATTCTCGCCATTATAATATCAGTTGTAAATCACTTGGGGAATGTGCGGTTCCTATTACGCTATTGAATTACATTAATGCTTGTTTTATTATTATTGAAGTGTATTGTTGAAGCATTGTTCTTTTGTTTGCGGGTTTGTTTAAATTATCTGGTGAAAATAATTCATTGTCCAGTCCACATAATGATAATGAATTACTTTATTTCTGCCTCCAATGTACCATATACATTTTACAAAGTTTTATCTAGGTTTTAGCCTTTTTATCATAAAAAATATCTTCATACTATGCTTTTTTATGAAAACATATTGAAATACAAAGACGTATTCTGGCACATGTTGTGTAATATTACCACTGTGGCTAATTTGCATATTATATATTATCATTTTCTCTACCATATCACAAATTGTAGCTATTATCATCAATGTACAGTGCAATGAAATAAATAAAATTAGGAAATAGATAAAAAAAAACATATCTGTTAGTTTTTTGTAGAATATCTTTAAAGATTTTTGTTGAATTTGTAATTTCATGTCTTTTTCCTGTTCACATATAGTTAATTTTTAATATTTTATTTTCCTTTCTTGTCTTTTACCACTTATTATTCATCTCAACATAAGTCAACAGTGTCTCTGGCAGTGATGTGCAACCCTTCGACAAATTTTTGTGCACCACGTAATATTGTAAGGTTTGAGGACTGATACAAAACATGATATATATTACAAAAAATTTTAAACCTTTCAATTATACATTTTAAAACATAACTAATACATAATTAACTAAAATATAATAGTAAGACCTAAATACAGTTTAAACTGTATCTCTAACTATAAAATATTTAGGTAAAAACAACCATAAGTGGTTTAGTTGATCAAGCAGCCAACAATACTGCAGTCAGTTAGTATACTCTGTGATGACAATTGCCTGTCAATTTCAAAATAACCATTGTTAGATTATAGCATAAAATGAACTTTTTCTAGTGACTATACATATATATGCAACATATATATGTAGACTATAAAGCTCAAACAAATCTGTTGAAGGTGGGTGTGGCACCAGTCAGGGATTGAAAAAATGTATTATTTGTTTCAACAGCACTCATTCAGAGAACTTTGAAATGTATGAGTCAAAGGGTTATGTAAGCATCTTATAGTCTAGACATTCATTTATACAACTGCCATTATTGAAGGTAAAGAATGGCAAAATAGAAAATTTTCATAGCTCATTGGTCATGTGACAATAAATCTGAAGTTTTTTAAAGGTTTCTTTTTAAATGAAGGACTTAAAACTTAGATAACATAAAACTTCGATTCATAATATACATTATAATGTTAACTTAATTTGCATAAATTAATAATAAAGGTGTGTAATTACATTTTGAATGTAACATGGTGACTTGCTCAGAAAAAGTGTTTAAAGGGGTACCTGTGTTTAAATGGTTAATGGTCATTTAATAAAAACCAAATATCTTATCAATTTACCTTAGTATACTCTAGATACACTAATAATGCATATATATATATGCTAATTGTGAAGTCTATAGTATTAACAAGTCTGAAGTTTTGGGTTAAAAACCACTATGAGAATGTCAGTTGTCAGATTTTGAAAAAAACATGTTTGAAAATTAGGCATAAAATTGTTACTTTAAGGGTCTTTGTCTAGTTGAAAAAGGTATACTACATCCTGCAAATTGTGAAACTTGCGCTCTTAATATGTTTCTAGGTATTAAAGAGTATATGCTCCCTCAACTTTTCTACAAGTTTAAACACTTGCACATTACCATAAGTTGTTGTAGGCCTATGTCTCAAATGATGTTATCTGATGTATAACAAATCCTCTTGCTTGTACAAACTAACCTGGTAAGTGAGACAACAAACACACATCCATATACTTCACAATAACAGTGATGACTGATCCAACTCTCTATTTTAAAAACACCCACTTCACAACTGTATTGTATGTATTGTCCAGCTTCGAATGTGTGAGAAAAACTTGACATCAACCTAGAATTTTCTAGGCATTCTACATTTCCTAGCTAATAAATTCCAACATTTAAAATATACAACAATATTAACCTTATGTCCATGTTAAAGTGTGCATGCCATGACCTTTAACAGAGTGCCATTCAACCTGGTATGATGTTTTTGATGTTGGAGTTATCAACTATACATTTTACCCTATGTTGCTGATTTAGTGACAGTTCATGATAAATACCAGTTACAATATATATAGGGATACTGAAAATAAAAACTGTAGATATACATTTTGAAGGTAATAGGGATTATATAATATGCAAACTGTACAAAGGACAAACGTATTTTTATTTTTCTCATGAACATCACCTTGCATTTCGACTTGTCAGAGTCTGAGTCAGACTGAAGTAATCAATTCACAGATATATCTTGAGTACAAATACATGTATGTACGTGAGAGATATTTGATTTTCTGTGTACAGCAGACTTGTACATTTTACTAAAAGCCTGACACATTTCATGTAGATATGCATAGTAAATTCTGAATTATAGTCAACATTGCTTCTCCAATTCTGGGTCAGTCCAGTGGACCGATCTTGTGCACCATTCTCTTAAAGCTGTAGTGTCATGTGTAAAACCAAGTGGCACTGAGATCATGACTTTATTTACTAACCTTAGAGCGACCACGAAGAGGAGTCAAGAGCCTCTACCTAGAGAAGCAGCCATCGAGAATCACGGAAGAAATGGCACAAGTGAAAAAAACCTTTTCCAGATTAAAAGAAATTATTGAAAGTGAAGAAAGTGACTAAAGTGAAGGAAGATCAAGTCTAAATAACTTGTGTAACATGCTTTTAAACTTGAGATTTGTCACTTTGTTGTGTGGTATTATCAAACTGAACTATGTTTGACTGTTTTTTTAGTTCTTTTTTACTGAATAATAAGCACAATACTGATATTTTGATACTGTTCAAGTATACGGAGGAAGATTTTGTTTAAACAGTGAAAAAAACATCACTTATTAAATTCTTGAACTAACATATTTTTCATTCATTTCCAGTAATATTCATATAGATTCTGGTATGGCTATAATTCAGGTTGTTTCAACCGAGTAAACATCGTAACGAAAGCTAATTGTTCAAAAAGACTGTTACATCATCCTGGCTAATTAAAAGCTACATAGGTTGAGTAGAAGATTAAGATGATAACTAATCAAAACAACTTTTCTGTAACTGTTGAGACTGAATACAGGCAAAATTCTTACTATGGATATTTTTAATATTACATACTTGATTTTTGATCAACAAAGTAAAATATTAATAATGAAACTTGTTCAGTGAATTTTGGCATTTTTTGGTTTTCATTAAACTTTTGGCTTCTAACAAATATATTAGTTTCATAATTTTATTATCAAATGCCATTAGTGATTAAAGAAACAGACACTAACCCTCAGAATTCAGAAAAGTTTGATATTTAAGGAAGTTAACAAATCTTATTTACTAAAGTCTGTAAATTGTGAACTGGTTTTTTGAGAATTAATTCTAGAACCAAATGCTCTTAATAAAGTTTCAAATGTTTAAGTACTGAAGATAAAAAGTAAAAATTAAATTCATTTTGAAAAGTATCTGGCTACTAATAAAAAGATGTTAATAAATTATTCGGAATTTTACACACTCACGTTGCCACCTATAACCACATATATTTAGTTGAGCTGTTTGTGGAAATTATTATCAGATGATAAGAACTGTTATTTTTATGTTGCAAATTTTTATTACTTTAATGTGCATATTTAATATTGAAGCATATTTTTGTTGTGAAAAAAATTATTCTTGAATATGACTAGTTTTTGAATTTTGGGAATGTTAATAAAAGAATTAACAGCCAGAAGTTCAGCACTGTATCTTATTGCATATTTACGTGCTTTTTCAACATAGAAAAAAAAATTATTATTGCATCCTCTTATAAAAGTCTTAAGACGGAAATAGAAAAACGGGGTGCAGTAAAGTTTAAGTACGAACGAACTGTTTATATAAATTACTTTCAGTTCATAATATTTCTTCATTTTATGTTTTTCTTTGGAATTTGAACATCAATCATTAATGTATAGGTCAACGCGGGAGGAAGGAAGACTTTCTGAAGAACAGTGAAACATCAGGTTATTATCTTGAGCTAATTGGTTGCACCAGATCAATTTGATTAGCTAAGCCTTCAGTTAAATTAACTAAACCTTCATTTTTTTAAGTCATACTTAAAATTAAAGGTACTTTCTTGCATTGAAACTCAAATGTTTATACTTTAATTTTAAAGACCAAAAACTATGTTTGCAATTGTTTTACCCCTTACACAATACATTTGAGAAGTATGTAGAAATAGCCAGTCATTCGTTAATTAAACTGTGCTTCGACATAAACTGCAAAATTAACAGCCGCCATTACTAAAGTAATATTAAAGTACTTAGGCTAAGTTATGGCCGTTGCAAGCGTATGTGTGATCTAGGTCTTTAGATTATTTTTTCCGTAAATTAGGCGTAAGAGGCTAGACCAAAAAAAAATTAAATATCTCAGCTTGACTCAAGGCCCTATTCCATAATTTATATTATATTTGTTTGATCAAAAAAGAATAAGATATACAGTCGATTGTCCGAAAATTACAACGAGAAAGAAAAATAATTTATGTATATCAAATTACCTTTCGACAGTGCTTCAGCAGAACTCCTCGTTGAAATAATTAATATTTCTCAAACATTTGATTATTTTGTATATTATGATCAATAAATCAAATTTTTATCATTACGCATCAAAGCTTCTGTTCTGTTGGTAAAGTTAAAATATATGTATACAGATGTAAACCAATAAAGCAAAATGATAATACAAAGTTGATTAAATTATTATTTTGATGACAATTTGGCTCTAATGTTATCGGGGCCTCTACTAGATGCAAAAATAAAAGTGTCAGATCAAATAAAATAGTGAAAGGGTGAAGCAAAATGAATGTTAATCCAATAAGTTGTGGTATCAGCCGGATAGCTAGCAGAACAGAGAAATTAGATCCGCTAATAACACGCGATTCTCGGGCTTCGAGATGTATTTTCCCTAAAGTTGCGGCCCGGCATGGCCAGGTGGTTAGGGCGCTCGACTCGCAATCTGAGGGTCGCGGGTTCGAATCTCCGTCACACCAAACCTGCTTCAGCCGTGGGGGCGTTATAACGTTACGAACAATCCCACTATTCGTTGGTAAACGAGTTGGCGGTGGGTGGTGTAACTTTGCGCGAAATTCATAACAAACAAACAATCCCTGAAGTTGTAACAGTCAGTGGTGGGATTCAGCCGGTTCGTGCAAACCTGTTCTTAGAATTTAATGACCTCCACGAACCGG